TATTTTAAAGTTTAGAATTTTCTCTCGCGTTTGAAGAACGTTTAAATGAGGAGTTTAAAGAACAATTCTTGTGAGCCGTTTGGTAGTAAGATGCTCCTTTATTCCGTCAAAAACTCAATGGGTCAGGTGCGCTGGTCACAGAATCGTGTTTTGATGCTTAATGCTTGTAAATTAGCTAAAAATGATAAGATCTGTCCAAACTGCAACTCTCTGCGTTCAATATTATCCGAGATATCACACTTTGAAAACTTCGGTTCATGACGTCATTCACCGTGGTAGTGACACCGTTGGTCTCTCTGACCTTACTTTTACCAATCCATATGATTCAACGTGAAGTTCGGATCAAAGAATGGCGGAAGAAACCAAGGGTGTCACCATCACGGAGGATGACGTCAACATAACTTTTCAAAGCGCGACATCTCGGTTATATTAATGCAGAAATTTGTTGTTTCGACGGATCCTCTTACTTTTAGCTGATCTACAAGAATCAAACACCAAAGCACGATCCTGTGACTAGCACAACTGACCTGCTTCTGAAATATTGGTTTCACGTTCTCCGGTAAAGAACCCGTTTAATTACGTCTAAACATCGCCACTTACAGCGAGCGAGAAAATGCCCTTTCAAAAACCGTGTCTAATGTATTTGCACGGACTTTAGTTGCGACGTGTTCCCTAAATCCCCACTATCAATGAACCTGGAAATAAATACCTGGTGTTGCTCGTGTGTCGAAGCGTGGGTAAAACTCAACCGCAGGCGTTCCGTAAACAAATTCGGGTAATTTCATCCCCCCAGGGGAACCTCCCTCCCCCGGGGGCGAGGCGCGAGGAGTCGGTTTTGTTAACGGGCGAGCACGTGGGAGGGAGGCGAGGGGGTGGGGGGGAAGTCGGGGTGCTATAGATGTTCGCAAAGCATCATGAATGAGGAACATTAACATGTGAGCAGACTTGATCAACTTCAATTAATCACGAGCAAAAGGGAGGGTAATTGATTTCGGGGCCAAGGTGAGGAGAGGGCGCGGGCCCGGGTCTGTCGTTCCCGAAACATTAACTCGTCTCCGTTCCTACTTCGTTTCCGCCGAAACGTGCCCGGCTTCGTTCCCGAAACACGTCTCCGTGGCTTCGCGAAATACTTACGTGTTCCTCGTTGTTTCCTCGCTATCCACCGCGTGAAACAACGGATGCATGGATTGCACATTTTCTATGTCTTCATTATTTTTCCGGGATCAATCACAGAGGCGGATCCAGCCCCCCTCCCCGCCCCTTCCTGTTCTCCCAAAACAATTCAAGTGAAGAGAGAGAGAAAGAAGGTGGTCGCCTAATACTTGGTAATTTTTCATGACGAAATTAACTCATGCACATTGCACACAGGGAAAAAAACACATTGGATCTATTGTCCAGACTCTTGAAAACATTGACAGGAAAAAATACTTTTGATTCGATCGGATTTTTGCTTGAATCAAAACGAAATCCCCTCAAATTAAGAGGCTTGGTTCTTGATTTAAGCTAGATTCTGATTGAATCAAGAGTACTTTTTCTTGTCGAGATTTTTAAGAGTCTGGTCTTTAGATCCAATGTGTTATTTTTTCCAGTGAAGCACTGTATAAATAGCCGAGGTGTTAGGTTCAACTCATTATACAGTGATAAAATGTTGTTACTAATCAACGATTTCATTAATTCAATAATTGACGCAAGCATGCTAGATGCTCTTAAATGTCGCCAATTTCCAAGGGTTGGGATGGAGAAAGAGGGGGGGGGAGTCTTCGTCCGCGAATGCGAGAAATTCGGAAAAGCGTGATATAAATTACTTGAATTTGGCGAGTTGATTTCAGGCTTTTTTATGTATCTGTCGCAGGCAATTAGCAATCGCCGGCTAATTGCAATTTATTTGTGTTAAATAAAAGAATTTAAAACTGAGAAGTATAAGGAAACAAGAGAGAAAGTACTGATGGATGCATGGTACCAGCTAACACAATCATGACTCGACTAACTGCGTGTGCTCAGTAAATCAGTGACCTAAGTTGGGTTTGGCTCGAATAGGCAACTAAACTAACTGCCTGGTGAAGCGGAGAGCATCATCGAGGTTGAAGGCGCTTGATACCGAAATGATAGTCTTGAAGTTTTGTACAATGAAACCTCTACTTTGTCTGTGCGAATTATTGCAATTTGACGAGTAAACACGCATGCCGTTTGCAAACTGCCGGCGATTGCTGACTGCCTGCGACATATCCTCAGCGATTTTCGTGAAATTTTACCTGTAAAAAGACTCCCTACCTGAATGCATCTCTTGTATGCAACAGACTCATTTTAAGAGCTTTTTGAGCTTGGCAGCGGGTGATTCTAAACAAGCCAGAGGCACCATTGTGTTTCTGATAAAAATTCGAAACTTCAGAAAAGTATAATGGAGTTATAGGATAATTGAAAAGGGTTTTAGATTTCTTTGTGGTAGCTTGCCTATTTCTTCCACGAAGTCACCCGACAGGTTCTTGAATTTTTCATACTGATGCAACAACTTCATCATACCCTCTTTTCAAAGCTCTTTCTCCATGTTCCTGAACCAAGTGTTAACGAAAGCTGCCACCTCTGCATCATTCATTGCGAAACTTTGCTTCCAAGAAACTGCAACTGCGGGACAAGGCGCGCCCGCTTACCGCGCGTATGGCCCAGGATTTCCTGGATAAATAAATTAAAGTTGGAAATTTTCGCGAATCAACTGTATTTCTTGGAACTAACGCCTAGTAATTTGCGCTTTCCTCGGCATTTAAACGATGGCCCGTAAGCATATATTTTAGCAATAATGCAGGGCAACAGCTCGCGTTGACAATTGACACGTATCTCAAATTGCGACGCAGCAAAATTTCTGACATTTGGACTATTTTGGTTTGTAAAAATTGAATAGATTTGTAAATTTTGCAGTGTCACAGGCATTTAAAAATTTTAGGCGAATAGCCATCTGTCCAGGCAAATAGCAATCATGCATATTTGCCCAGGCAGATGACTATTTGCCTAGGCAGTTTGCTGTTTGCTTAGGCAACTTGCTGTATGCCTAGGCAACCTAAAGCTGAACCAGAATTGAGGCAATTGACAAATGCATTTGAACTTTTACTAACACATATCTGAAAAATCTTGTATATTGATACGAAATTCAAAGTATATTTAAAAGGTATAACATGCAGAATTAAAAGTAATGCGTGAAAATATTTTTAAAGTTTATGATTAGACAGGAATTAAAAACTCGTCAATTTTCAATAAATTTATATCACTTGGGGCTTCTTGGCGTTGTGTAGACTCTGGCATCGAATGATCCAGTTGCAAACTTCAGTCAGAGCAAAAAAGAGAGTTAATTCTGATAGATTATGACTCTAAAATCACAATGAAAGTATCGAGAAAGTCTGAAATATACTCCTAACTTTACAATCTGCGTAAGAAATATGATTTTTTTAAAGTTTTCCGCTTCAAAAACGATACTACGGTACAGGTTCAAACTTTTCGTGAGAGAAGTCGTTCCATTCAACCCTTGCGCACCAGAATGCTGCGCAATTTTCAACATGGCTGCCGCTTCCGCGCGAAAATCGTGGGAAAGCATCATGGCCTTCATCAACGCAAGGAAACTTTAAATGTAAACACGACGGTTGATAAAATCCCATCTCGTTATGTGTATTATGGCGGGTTGGCTGCGGCCATTGAATATTGCGTAGCATCCTAGTCCGACAGGGTTGAGCGAAAAGACTCCCCTTACGATATGTCCACCTATGCTGCAGCAGTCTTTTGAAGCGCGAATCTTAAATAACGCAAATTTCTTTCACAAATTGCAAAGTTAGGAGCATATTTTAGACTTTTTCGATGCGCTCATCGTAATCTTGAGCCATTTTTTATATCACCCAACTTTTCTTTTTGCTGTAGCTGAAGTTTTGCAACAGGCCTCTTTCACTCCTCGATTTTTAACACCACTGGAAAAAAAACTCCGGCCGTGGATTCCGTACTTACGGGCTATATAGACATACCGTCCGTTCCGGGCTTACAGGCCGGAAGTTCTAGGCGCAGCACCCGTAGCAATCAAAGCTACGGCTTCAGCACCCGGAACTTTCGGTCTCTAAGCCCGGAACGGACGGTATGTCTACATAGACCGTAATTCTTTTTCAAGGAGTGTATTCCCGTTATCGTCAAAACCTTTCGAAGTTTTCCACATTGAAATTTATGAGTTTTTAAAAGTTTTTTTTTTAGCAGTAGATGCTACTACATGGGGTCAAGCCACACACTGAAAAAACGAGATTAGGGCTGGACCCTAGAATTGCTTCACCTCAACCACCACATGGGCAGGCCCTGCGCGGGTAAGGCCCGGCCCTACCTGGACACTCTAGCTCTTACCAGGTAGGGCTGAACCCTGAAGCAGGTAGATTTGGGCTCTGCGCGCGCCGGGCCTGCCCCTATGGCGGTGGAGGTGAAGCAATTTTACCTACCCGGTTAGGGCTGGTACCTGCGCCGAAGGTCCCAGCCCTAAACTCGTTTTTTCCGTGCACTGAAAAAAAAACTCCGGCCATGGGAGCCGCAATTACGGGCTGTATGGACTGTCTTTTGCAATTTGGAAATATAAATTCTGGCCCGGTTTAAAAACAACGTATGAGCCATTAGTTTCCCCAAGCACATAAGTATTTTCTCAGATGAGCCAGATCGAATTTATAGTTCCAAATTGCAAAATGCAGTCCATGTAGACATACCGTCCGTTCCGGGCTCAAAGGCAGAAAATTCCGGCTGCTGGAGCCGTAGCCTCGATCGCTCCGGGTTCAGAGGCCGAAGCTACGGTTCCAGCAGCCGGAATTTTCGGCCTTTGAGCCCGGAACGGACGGTATGTCTATATAGCCCGTAATTGCGGCTCCCACGGCCGGAGTTTTTTTTTCAGTGCACATTTTCGGCGGGGGTGTGGGTGAGGGAGGGCGAGCCGAAAGGCGTGACGGCGATGGCCACAGATATGCTTACAGGGCGGCTTTGGTGATTTGTTTCAGACGCCGCCGGGATGGGCATGAACGTGAACGTCACGTTCCGGGCGCCGCGCTACGTGCTCTTCGGCGACCGCGCTCCGCTCTACTGCGAGTACGACGTCGCCATCGAGGCCCTCCACAAAGTCGAGTGGCTCAAGAACAACAAGAAGATCTTCCAGTTCGTCCGCGGCCGCAACCCCCCCTTCAAGATCTACCCGCACAACCTCGACAACGGAGCCACCCTCGACGTAAGTACAGATTCTTCTCTACACGCCTCTCGAGGGTATTGTCGTAAAATATTGTCCGGAAAAATGTCCAGGGAGCGTTGCATTGTTGCCACATTTTGTAGCTTCCCGGACGATGGAACGTAACCCCGTTCCGAGGTTGTGGAATGGACTCAAATTGGACTGCATTTTGCAATTTGGAACTATAAATTCTTGCTCTTCTGGAAAAACACTTGTGTGCATAGGGAAACTAATGGCACATACGTGGTTTTTAAATTGGGCTAGAATTTATAGTTCCAAATTGCAAAATGTAGTCCAATTATTCGATTTGTTACAAGAGTGTCCCTGTGTAATTTTTGCATCGGCGGATCCAGCAAATTGGCAACATCGTTTTCCCTCCATTCAAACCCATGAAAATGTATCGATTCTTAGAGGGGTCCGGTGCTCCGACTTGAATCGATTGTCAAACATGGATTGGTTTAAGTGGAGGAAAATCCGGTGTTGTCAAATTGCTGGATCCGCTTCTGAATTTTTGCCCGGAAGGAGGCCTACACTAGCTGAATTCCCTCAGTGAAGGACTATATTATACAGAATGCATCATGAAAACCTGGGAAAACGTCGTGCGTCATCGACTTTGCACATCGATCTTTTCGAGTGAAATATGTCCAATTTTGAGCTTTTGTTTACGCGTAAGCCACGCTACGGCACAGTAACAGCACAGAGGATATAAGAAAACATTAAAATTCTTTGGAAATCATTAAATATGGCACGGAACCACCTTAATATTTACTAAACACGCATTATTTTTTCCCTTAATATTTTTTTTCTATCAATGTAAATGAGAATAAACCCTGCAAAGTGTGTAAACATTTCAAAATCATGAGTCGAAAAACGCTGACTTAACGAGTTTGAATATTTGAGCCAAACACGGAGCGGAGCGGCGCGCGGCGTGCTGCCAGCGCGTACCGCGCACAGGCGCCTACAAACCTAACAGGGATACTTCACGCATTGCGCAATGCGTGAAGTATCCCTGTTAGGTTTGTAGGCGCCAATGCGCGTGTCACGCTGGCTGCATGCCGCGTGCCCGACCCGGCGCACACTGTGGTATTTGACCGAAAAACCTAGCTAAAACCTTTTTTTCCTCTTCTTTTTTTTTAACAAAAAACTAATCTCTTCAACGCCTTTAAATTTCTGTGAAATCGCCCTAGATTTCGAAGAGTCTACTCCCATCAAGTTAGTTTTCCATGAAATAATAAAACGCCATAGAAAATTAGACAACACTTGATGTAGTTAAGCTTAACTGTAGTTAAATCCGTCAATTCTGCAGGAAGAACTACGGCAACATCCAAATGTTCATAGGCCGTTTTTCCTTTAGACGGTGGCATATAAGTGCCGCTGCACCGAATTCTTTGCGGCCCATTTTCCAACGTTATCAAGTTAATGGGGTGGATTAATGGGAGGAGTCGGGATTTGGGGGAGAACTCGGGCAGTATATCACGCAGCTCATCAGAATGTAATGGAGGAGCTCTCATAAATCTGTCACCAAACGGAATTACGTCTCATATCTGTCACTGGAAATACTTCCATGAGCCTGTTACCAGACCAAAACGATGAGTTTGTATTGCGAAGAATTCTTGTTGAATGACGATGGGCGGACGAGCAAGGTCGAAAGCTCTCTTTTAACTTCGAAATTTTGACGCTTTTCTGAGCTTCCGGCTTCCGCTTCTCAAAATTTACTGCGGTAAAAGGTTATTTGGTTGCTCCTCTAGCGTAAGGACGTATCTCGGTTTCCGGATAAGCTTCAGAAAGCATGGATTTATACGCAAAACATGGCTCACGTTGAAATTGAGGTACGCCCTCACGTAAGGAGGGAGACGATTTGATACAGATGAGTCACCCCGATTTAATGATGCCTCGCAAAACCCACAGTTGTCGTAATCGTTTAATGCAGTGCTCCAAATAAAAAAAAAGGAAAAAGAAACTTTCCCTTATCAAAGTAATTTGGGAAGTAAGGGAATGTTCGTGTTAGATAAGAAAGTATCTTCTTTTCTGTCGTTTGTTTCTTTCCTTTTTTCCTTTTCTCTTTTTTTGAAACTGCGTTAGACAATATCTTGAACAGTGGCGATTCTTGAGAGATGGCAACTTTGCTTCTCCTCCATTTAAACGTATGTGAAACAATCGATTCTAAGTGAGGCAAGCTGAAGCTGCCTCGCTCATAATCGATATTTCTTATGGCTTTAAATGGAGCAAACTCGCTGTCGCCAACTAGGAAGCATCAGATTCTCTTCCTAAAAGAACGCAGTTCGACTTTTAACTTCGAATCGTCATAGCTAATTCTAATTAGGCGACACTTTTGGGCGTCTTTACGATAAAGGTTTGTAAANAAAAAAAAAAAAAAAAAACCAAGGAGCGTTTATTTTCAAAATGTTTGTAATAATGGACCAATAGACAAGGTACGAATTTAAGCATTCTAATACATGTTTCTTGACCAGAATTTTACGTAGAACACGATGCGCACAGCGAAAATTACCGAAATCAACTCGTTATGAAGATATTTAATGATTCTTGATGCGTGAATTCAAACCACCCGCTCATGAAAACTCAATGCTCTACGTGACTCACATCGCGCGCTAAACGTTATCATGACAGTCTCTGCGATATAAAAATCTGGCAACCTTAATCTTGACGCTTTAGCTCAGCTATTGCAAGTTGCTTATAGTTTGAACAGCACATGGTGGGAAATGAACATCGCTCGATTGAGAAGTGTGCTGAAACCGTTCTAGTGCACGATTTGACTCAGGTAGAGCTTTGAGTTTCTTGTGAGCGGACAGTTCAAACTCCTCGTAACCAATGTGAAATATAAACGTTAATATCTTCGTTAGGAGTTAATTTCGGTAATTTTCGTTGCGCGAATCGTGTTCTACGTGAAATTCTGGTCAAGAAACATGTATTAGAATGCTTAAATTCGTACCTTGTCCATTGGTCCATTCTCGTCGATCTCTTTGGAAAAATAAAATTTAACGAGAAATCTTCAAACAACGCAAATCGAAATATATGTATTGCAACCGTCACTATTACGATGTATCGATTATTTTACATGCATTTAAATGGATATAGCCCGGTCTTGTCAGCTCTCCTCTGGTTCTCGGATTGACCTTAATGTGTGGAAAAGGAGGCGGGGCGGCTAGTAGTCCTGATTAGCAAATATCACTAGTTTAATTCGATCAGCTCAGTATATTGGCTCATCAAGTCTACCTTAGGCGTGAGGTTTCCCTGAGTGAGTGGTACTTCCCAGCACTGCAATGCTAAGGAAAAACAATGTATGTCCAGTTGAATGTTGCCTTATCTCCCAATAAAATATTCAATTATTAATGTGCAGTTTTGCTTGATATTTCTACAAACTCTCAATTAAATTGCGAATAATATTGTCGTAAAAGCTCAAATAAGGAAATTCACTAGGCTCCGGGAAAATGCGTGTTTTTTTTTTTTGGGNTGGGGGGGGGGGGATCTCCTAAGGCTCATCTGGCATTATTGCTCAGCACTGCAGAGCAGGAGTCCGGTCCGATGATAAATTGGACGTATTTCTGCTAAACGGAACTATGTGCATTCAGACATGAGCCCTGAGACCCATAAGAATATATGCATAACAGGGCTCACGTCACAATGCACACAGTTCCGTTTGACAGAAATACGTCCAAATTGAGTTTGATGTCCGAAGGCTGATGACGCTTGGGCTGCGAACTGCACCGTGACTTAATTTCAATTTAACGGCAGCGCGATAAAATTGGCCCGCGGATATGGAATGCGATGATTGGCCGCCCCGTCGAGTGAGCCGGGTTTCGCCGCAATTACGGCGCTCACGCCCGGTGGCCCGGTGTCCCGTGTAGAATATTGGCGGTTGTCAACCCATTGTGACATCTGTGTGCTCGAATAATTTGCACCGCCTCGCCCTATAATGACGATGTTCCATTTGCACGGAGCTCCGCGGCAAACAAAATCACAACGGAAGGAGTATTCTTCGAAAAAGCAACATAGGTTGTCCCAGGATTCGTCGCTCCTCTGACGTAAGGGCGTATCTCATTTTCCATGTGAGCCCTGTTCCACATATAAATCCATGCTTTCTGGGGCTCATCTAGAAATCGAGATACGCCCTTACGTCAGAGGAGCGACGGATTGAGCGGTCAGACTGCAAGAATGGTTTATATGGGTCAAAATATACAGGACTTTCTGTCAGATAAAGGTTTTTTCTCCAAACTTGCACCGTTGAAGGAAATTAAACTAGGTAGCCATCACCCAGATCGAATATTTCCTATGCTTCGGAATTCGTGTATAACACGATTTTGATAATCTACACCGAAAACAAAGTGGAGTCAATTTAACATTCTGGATGTATAAAAAGATTGCGAGGACTTGTGAAATGCTGCAATAACCGCTTCTGCACTTCTTTGGCAATGTCAAGATGTGGAACTAACCATTGCAGCGGGTAATCCAGCATTTTCTGAGTTCTCACACACGTTAACATCAAAAATGTTCAACTTCACTTTTTTTCCGGTGCCGTCAGTAAATTTGCGCAAATCAAAGAAAAGTCACTCGAATATAATACACCGGTTCGTGTTTTGGATCACTAATTTGTAGTCCATCTTATTCGGGTGCTCCTTGTTTAGTATTGGAAAATTACTTTACTATCCTGCTGTGATTTTATACGAACGAGAATTTTTGAAACGATAAAGTTCTCAATGAACTTTCTCGATCCAGTTAAATCTCACATTAATGAGAAGGCACTCCATTTTCTAGTGACCTTACAATGATCAACTCCATGTAAATAACGGAAAAAGAATCCAGGCATAAGTAGGGCTCAAAAATCACGTCAAGAGTGCATGCGGCAGCTGAATCAAACTTCTCAAATGTGACTCAGCGCCCGAATGCAACTATTCGTGCTCAGTGGATGTGCGTGTTGCATGAAGAAGGAATTGAAGGCGTTTTCGCTTCTCTTACCATCACCTACGGAACGCTGCTGCTCGCAC